GGGCGGTAGCGATATGGCTGGGCTTCTTTCTGAATTTGCTATAAGTCTGGATGAGTTTTATGATTTAAAGTAAATTAACCTTCATTTTATAAAAAGAAACAAAGGCGGGCAGTTGGGGGCTGCCCGAGCTAAGGTCACAGAGACCTTGGGTAAAATCCCTGTTCTCCAAAGGACTTTGTTTCTGTCTTTACAAAGAGGGAGCAGAACAAAAGAGCATTTCCCCCAAGGTATGCTCTCAGTCTCTGGCCTAGCGGTGACGTCCCAGGAAGGAAAGGCTGTATGGTTAGACAGCCTCACGGACCTGGCACTCTCACGCCGTGCCCTGGTATCTGCAGCCAGGGGTGTCCCCAGCTGGCTGCAAGGCTCAGGCCCTTCCTCTGTCACTGCACTCTGCTCAAAAGCTACCTCCCCTGGGTGCCCCGACAAGCAGCCCTTATCACTACCAACCCTCCTTGCCCATCTCCAGCAGGGACACGCTCCGCAGCCTCTTCATTGCTTTCTCCATTCACAGTTCCATGACAGCAAATCTCTGGCAACCCCGGCCCCCAGAATGTGCTGCCTCAGAGTAGGGTGGTGTTTATTGGGTGAATAGATGAACACAATAGCCTTCTGGTCTCACAATGCATATTAATGGGTCTAACTCATGCCTCCCCCACACAGGTCCTATTAACATGCTTTGAAATTGGGTTTCACAGAACATACTTTGGGAGTATGTTCACCGTGATCACCATTATCAGTATTTTGGGAGATTCTCCCCCAAGACGACCCCTGAGTGTCACTGCAGCTCCACCACTCTATAAATGGTTCACATAAACGTCTCTGCTATGGGGTGGGCAGGAACGTATGAGCGTGGCAGATGAGCATGGTGGCCGCGTGGCTGCCCTCTGGATCCCAGATCCCTGCAGCTGGCTGAGTCCTCTCCCTCCCCTGCTTTTGGCTGATGTCTGGCCCTGGAGCTGCCTCAGCCTGGGAAATAAGTGCAGGAGGGAATTTGCCAGAACAAGGTAGAGGCGTTTCCTGTAGCATCAGTTTCTGAGAATGCTTTTGAATTGGCCAGTGCCATGGACGAGCTATGATGAAGGTGAGGAAGGGCAGCCTCAGCTGCCACTGTGGCCAGGACTACAGGGCTGCCTGGCTTCCCCCAACGCTTGTTTTAAATGCAGACAAACAGAGGCTGTGTCTCTAAACCTGCCTCCTCTGTGGATCAGAGTAAAAGAAGCTACATGAAAAGAGGAACCCTGTGCAGAGGAACCCCACAGGTGTCCATGGGTGGTGGGGCAGTGTGGTGGTGATTACAGCATATTCTATTTTCAGTAGCCACAGTCCGAGGGCCCTGGGAGAGCCTAAGTGACTCTGAAGCCCATTTGGCCAAAAGAATCTCAGAAACGTCACTGAGCATGTGACATCAGCCTCACCATGGCAGAGAGTCTGGCCATTTCCTAGTTCAGTCCTGGTAAGGAGGGAGGAATTGTCCCCAGATGTTACAAGCTGAAATGTTATAACTACATTTTTGGGGGAGGTAGGGGGATGGATTCTCACTTCGTTGCTCAGACTGAAATGCAGTGGTGTGATCTCGGCTCACTGCGACCCCCACCTCCAGGGTCCAAGCGATTCTCCTGCCTCAGCCTCCTAAGTAGCTGAGATTACAAGCACCTGCCACCATGCCCGGCTAATTTTTGTATTTTTAGCAGAGATGGGGTTTCACTATGTTGGCCAGGCTGATCTCCATCTCCTGACCTCAGGTGATCTGCCTGCCTCAGCCTCCCACAGTGCTGGGATTCCAGGCGTGAGTCACCACGTCTGGCCTTATAACCACATTCTTTTCTAGTGTCCCCTGCTCCGCCCTTCCCATAGCCATGGCAGCTCACCTACTCTATAAAAGGAGCAAGCAAGAGAGGTTCCACGTCTGCCCTTGCCCAGGGGGCTTGTTCCATTGCCACAGTGGACCCCACAGGTCATCAAGGACCCAAGCATTTCAAGCTACCTGATTTTATACCTCAGTGAGGCTAATCACTGTAGAGGAACTCAGGGCGTGTTATGAAGAAGCTGCTGGGAACACAGAAGGACAGGAAAGCCCTCATGCACCCAGCACCTGCCATTCAGAATGTGGCTTGAGCCCATTCTTAGCAGACACTGCAGGGAAGAGGGGATGGAGAATCACGTGGCACCGAGTTCCTTTTCACTTTTTTATATTAAACCTCTGTATGAGTTTGGTTTTTTTTAAAGGAGTCTTGTCACCCAGGCTGGAGTACAGTGGCATAATCTTGGCTCACTGCCACCTCACCTCCTGGGTTCAAGCAATTCTCCTGCCTCAGCCTCCTGAGTGGCTGGGATTACAGGCGCCTGCCACCACACCTGGCTAATTCTTTTGTACTTTTAGTAGAGATGGGATTTTACCATGTTGGCCAGGCTGGTCTTGAACTCCTGACCTCAGATGATCTGCCTGCCTTGCCTCCTGAAGTGCTGGGATTACAGGCGTGAGACACCGCGCCCGGCCACCTCTGTATGATTAACCTTCTCCCATAGCATTTCCCACGATGGATGCCTGGAACATTGATACCTGGGCCAATAACCAGTGCCTTAGGAGCAAGAGTGCCTCATGCTCAAGTTGAGGAAATGCCCAAATGTGTAACTTTCCCGTGCCTTTCAGAGGCAACTTGCACTCACCTCTCTAGATGTCATGTGCAGTGTGCAGTACGGTCAAGTTATTTGAAAATCTAGTAGCACCCACTCAAATATGCTCTGTAGACACCAGGATGAGAATGCCAACACAGAACACAGCTATGAGAACTGGGAGTTCCGCCCTTAGCTCTGCTACCAACTAGCTGAGTAGCCTCGGGCGAGTGCCTCAGCCTCTCTAACCGTCTGAAATACCTGGATATGTGCTCCTGCTACATTTCATGTTGAAAGCTGGTCTCCAGTGCTGGAGGTGGGGCCTGGCGCGAGGTGACTGCATCATGGGTGTGGATTTCTCAAGAATGGTTTAGCACCATCTCCTTGGTGCTGTCCTCACGATAGTGAGGGAGTTCTTGCAAGACCTGGTTCTTTAAAAGCGTGTGGCGCCTGCTCCTCTTCCCCGCTCTCTTGCTCCTGCTTTCCCAGTGTGAACCATCTGCTTCCACTTCACATTCTGCCATGAATAAAAGCTCAGTGCTTCAGGGCTGCAGATGGAGGAGGCAGCTAAGCAGAACACTTCACCCAGGTGCAGGGAACTGCAGCTGAGAGGCGATCAGTAGTGCTCTCCAAGAACCTCTGAAAGCTCTCTCAGAAGGTCAGTTGAAACATATGCTCCGCCCAGAAAGTCAACTAGAGTTTCCCTTTCGTTCTGACTCTCCACACCCCAACCCTCCCAGGTCAGAACCAGCCCTGGCAAACTGAAGAGAGAGGCAAGCCGGAGAGAGGGGCGGTGCTCTGCTCTTCTGCCACCAGGTGGCGCACCTGCAGCTGGCCAGGGGCTGGAGGGAGCTTGGGAGGGAAGATGGCCCGTGTAAATTTAACCCAAGTTCACGGTCTTTTCCTAATTATTCTGTCAGCTAGAGTACCTACTCTTGTTTTCAGCTTAAATAACCAAATGTTTTTAACTGTCCCCCATTACAAGCCCAGGCATCACCTGTGTTCCAGAGCTTCTGAATCTCACGTCCCCTTCCTGCATACCCGGGTCCCCCGAGACCAGGGACATTCAGCAGAAAAGTGCGTGCTGCCACCAGCCCCACCCCAGCTCCCTAACGCAGGTTGGTGTGTGCCTGTGTCCCATTTTTATTGAAATGCAGAGTTGACCTGTGGACCCCCTGGGACACCCTGGGAGGGCACGGACTTCCTGCAGGGGAGGCAGGCTCCCCTTAAACAAGGCTCCCTCCTTCAAGAGAAAATTGGGCCTCTGAAAGGCTCCTGTGGTTGGATCCTGCCTGCCAGCAAGGGAAGATCCAGGCTGGGTGACTCAGGAGGGGAGTCTCCTGAGGTGGCCTAAAGCAGAGCTGGGGACCCAGCAGGAGGGGCTGGAAGGAGCCCAGGTTTCAGACAGCATTGAGCATCCTACCTGCAGGAGGCGGGGAGGGGCAGGGACACCACTGGGCATCGAGCAGCGGGGTTGGGGGGCAGAAGTGGGCTCCGGAGAGAGTTCAGAACTGGGACCTCACGCTTGACCCCGCACCCTGAGCTGCTCAGCAGGGAGGCCAGGCAGCTGCTGTATGCTCCTGTGCTTCGAGACGTGCAGTGCCAAACTCTGAGACATAGGGTCAGGTTTGACAGCCTGAGAAACTGAAATTATCAAGTTTGTCAGCTGTGATGAGATCTTGGTGTCCTCACATCAAGTGTCTTCACCACAGTGGCAGACTGAGGGATTTATAGGTGAAATGACATGGTGGCTTGGACTTGCTTTTCTTTTTAGAGACAAGGTCTTTCTCTGTCACCCAGGCTGGAGTGCAGTGGTGCAATCACAGCTCACTGCAGCCTCCAGGGTTCAGTGATCCTCCCTCCTCAGCCCCTCCAGTAGCTGGGACTACAGGTGCACCTGCCACACTCAGCTGAGTTTTTTAACTTTTTGTAAAGATGAGGTCTTGATATGTTGCCCAGGCTGGTCTCAAACTCCTGTGGACTTGTGTTAAAAAATACTCCACTCTCCCTTCAAAAGTTAGGGGAGACAGAGGAAATAAAGTTTTTTTTCTTTTTCTTTTTTTTGAGACAGTCTCATTCTGTCGCCCAAGCTGGAGTGCAGAGGCGTGATCTCGGCTCACTGCAACCTCTACCTCCCAGGTTCAAGTGATTCTCCCGCCTCGGCGCCCTGAGTAGCTGGGATTACAGACGTATGCCACCACGCCCTGCTAATTTTTGTATTTTTGTAGAGTTGGGGTTTCACCATGTTAGCCAGGCTGGTCTCAAACTCCTGACCTCAGGTGATCCACCTGCCTTGGCCTCCCAAAGTGCTGGGATTACAGGCATGAGCTACCGCACCTGGTCAGAAATAAGATTTTCTAAATGTTTGATTTTCTTTTTTCTTTAACCAGAGGAAAGTATGAATGCAACCCCCATGACCATGAATGATGCCGCTGAATTTCCCACTTCTGGGAAATCACAGGGTTGGCACATCCGGAGGGCGGAGGGCAAGCCTCGACCTGGGAAGACCACTTTCGTGATCACAGATCTCCCCTGCCAGGTGAGTACCTTGGTAATGTTTAGGCTGGGTGAGAGGCTCTCTCTACTTTTGCATAGGTTTGACATTTTCTAAAACGTTATTGTTTTAAAAAAGAGAATCTGCAGGAAGAACAGGCCTGGAGTCAGTTTCCACCTGCGTCAAGTATGTGTTCCTCAGCTCCTTTTCACCAAAACCTGTCCCCACACCTGTGGACTGGACCATCCCTCTCTGCCCTTTCCTGTGCACCCCTGTGCCTGCAAGGTAGGACAACGGCAGCCTGTTTTCAAACCACAGAAGAGATGGCTAATGATTGGAATAGCCAACCTTTGGGTGGTGGAAGTACCAATCAAAACAAAGTAGGGGGCTGGGAAGATGCCAGAGCTGGCTTTCCAGTGAGGCACAGACAGCTCCCGCCCAAGGAGCGCCCCCACCCTGGTGGCCAGCGACCTAAGATCTACCAATGGCAAGAATTCACTGACCTGTACCTCTCCACAGTTCCAGTGGCCTGGAAGCTCCCTACACCTCATCACCCCCGTGACAGCCCTGTGCGACCCGTGGCCTCATGCCCTCTCTTCCCTCCACGGCTGGGGCTGTCCCCACCTTGTCTGGATCTCCTGGTCAGCACTGCCTGCATGTGAAGATGCTGGAACACCAGTTGCCAAGCCAGTGCAGAGTCCACACTGGCTCCTGGTGGGCACTGCATCAAGCTGCCCTGCTGCTGGGGACAGATCTTGATCTTGTGTGTGCGGGACTGTCTTCTGCTCCGCCGCCACCTCTCCTTGGCTCCCCCTCCTCTCCGGCAGCTCCCTTACCTGCCCTTGGATTCTGGGGTCCCCCAAGCTGGCTCAGAAGTCTCTTCTCCTGGCCTGGCTTGAGCAACCTGCAATCTCAAGCACACCCGGACTCCCAAAGCCAGCATCCGGGGGGAGCCTCATGTGTCCACCTCCCGTAGGATATCTGTGCTGGGCCTGCAAAGCCCAGTGTCTACTTTGCCTTTGCAGCTGGATGCCAAAGAGGCACTTTACCTTGCTTCACTTGCTCCAGGCCCCACTGACTACCCTCCTTCAGACGTGCAGCAATCTGCATCTTAGCTCACGGCACTGTCATCCTACCAGGGAAGCAGTCAGGGACTTGGGACTCACCCCCTACCCTCATCCACTTCAGCCTCGGCCCTGCTGACACCACCCCACAAACCTCTTCGGGACAGTGCTCCCACCTCGCACTCCACGCCGCCATCACCGCCCACTGAGATGACAGGACTGTTGTCACACGTCAACGCCTGGCCTGGAAGACCTTTCAGCATTTCAGTCGGAACCCTTCCCTGCTTATCCCACCAGGAGCCCCCCACACCCTTTGCTACCAGGATTTGGAATAAATCAGATTGGGATTGGGAACATAATCAGATGCCATAGCCTCTGGCAAATGTCCCACACATCCCAGGATCTCACTAGGAACTAGATGTCTGTGTGCTTGCATAAGGTTGGGCTATGCTTCTGGGCCCACCAACCTAAGAAGGGAGATGATGTACGAAGGTCAGGCAGGCGTGTGACTCAAAATGTGTGGTGGTGGGGAGGAGATTCTACAAACTGTTGATCACTGGACATATAAATCCAGAGCAAAATTTTAGAAAAGTGTGTTCTCCATTTTAGTGATTTGTAAGCAGTTGGAAGTGAAGCAGTGATCTCTTAAAGCCAGCACAGATTCACTTAGAATAAATGATAGGAAATATTGAGAGCAAAGTCTGAAAAACACACTGTGTTTGGATTACAGCAAGACATTTGACAAAGCTTACAACATCCTTGAGAAATGTGGACTACATAACAGAGTGGCTAGCTAGTTTTTGTGTATGTTTGTTTGTTTTGAGATGGAGTCTTTTTTTTTTTTTTTTTTTTTGAGGCGGAGTTTCGCTCTTGTTACCCAGGCTGGAGTGCAATGGCGCGATCTCGGCTCACCGCAACCTCCGCCTCCTGGGTTCAGGCAATTCTCCTGCCTCAGCTTCCTGAGTAGCTGGGATTACAGGCATGTGCTACCACGCCCAGCTAATTTTTTTTTTTTGTATTTTTAGTAGAGATGGGGTTTCACCATGTTGACCAGGACGGTCTCGATCTCTTGACCTTGTGATCCACCCACCTCGGCCTCCGAAAGTGCTGGGATTACAGGCTTGAGCCACCGCGCCCGGCCGAGATGGAGTCTTGTTTACACCTGTTTTATTGGCACCTCTTCTGGTTTACAGGTTATCTTGAATTTTTTTTTTTTTTTTTTTTTTGAGTCAGAGTTTTGCTATGTCACCCATGCTGTAGACTTACAATTCCAAATGTCAAAATGTAATGCAAAGTTATAGTCAAAACAGTGTTGGAGCACTAGGAAAGATATTTAGATCAAAGAATATAACCAAAAATCCAGAAATAAACCCTTATACTTATGGTCAGTTGATTTTCTACAGGAATACCAAAACAATTCAATGGAGAAACAACACCGTTTCAACAAATGGTTGTATTAAGACAACTGCACAGTCACATGCAAGGTTTTTGTTTTTGTTTTTCTTTTGGGACAGAGTCTCACTCCATCACCCAGGCTGGCATGCAGTGGTGCTATCTCAGCTCACTACAACCTCTGCCTCCTGGGTTCAAGCGATTCTCATGCCTCAGCCTCCCGAGTAGTTGGGACTACTGGTAGATAGGGTTTTGCCATGTTGATCAGACTGGTCTTAAACTCCTGACCTCAAGTGATCCACCTGCCTTGGCCCTGCAAAGTACTGGGATTACAGGTGTGAGCCACCGCTCCTGGCCCACATATGCAAAGTTAAACCCTTACCTCACACCATACACAAGATAGATTATAAATCTACATGTACGGGCTAAACTATAAAACTCTTAGGAAAAAACATAAGATTGTATCTCAATGAGTTAGGCAATGGTTTTTAGATATGACACCAAAAGCATAAGTAACAAAAGAAGCATAGATAAATTGTAGTACATCAAAATTAAAAACTTTTGTGGGCAAATGATGCCATAAAGAAAGTGAAAAGACAACCTACTGAAGAGGAGAACATTTTTTGAACCATGTATCTGGCAAGAAATTTTTATCCAGCATGTATAAGGAATGCTTGCCAATCAATAAAAAAAGGATAACCCATTTTAAAAGTAAGCAAAGATTTAAAGAGACATTTCTTTTTTTTTAAATTTTTTTTAAAGATGAGGTTTCAGCCAGGCGCAGTGGCTCAAGCCTGTAATCCCAGCACTTTGGGAGGCTGAGGCGGGTGGATCACGAGGTCAAGAGATCGAGACCATCCTGGTCAACATGGTGAAACCCCGTCTCTACTAAAAATACAAAAAATTAGCTGGGCATGGTGGCGTGTGCCTGTAATCCCAACTACTCAGGAGGCTGAGGCAGGAGAATTGCCTGAACCCAGGAGGCGGAGGTTGTGGTGAGCCGAGATCACGCCATTGCACTCCAGCCTGGGTAACAAGAGTGAAACTCCGTCTCAAAAAAAAAAAAAAGACGAAAGATGAGGTTTCACCATGTTGGTCAGGCTGGTCTTGAACTCCTGACCTCAGGTGATCCGTCCACCTTGGCCTCCAAAGTGCTTGGATTACAGGCGTGAGCCACCACACCCAGCCTTAAAGAGACATTTCCACAAAGAAAAGTATAGCTGGGCATGGTGGTGCACATCTGTAATCTCAGCTATTCAGTTGGCTGAGGTAAGAGGATTGAGCCCAGGAGTTCAAGTCCAACAGCATAGCAAGACCCTATTTCCAAAAAACAAATATACAGTAGTCTAACAGTACATGAAAAAATACTCAGTATCATTAGTTATTAGAGAAATGCAAATTAAAACCACAGTGTGATATTACTTCACACCCACTAAGATAGCTATAATAAAACAGAAAAGTGTTGGCAAGCATGTGGAGAAATTTTAACCCTGGTACATTACTGGTGATAGCGTACAATACCACAGCCCCTTTGGAAAAACAGTTTGGCAGTTTCTCAATTTGTTTAAAAATTGCTGCATCATTGATGCAGCAATTCTATTCCTAAGCATACACCCAAGAGAAATAAAAGCATATGTCTACACAACAACCTGTATAAAAATGTTCCCAGCAGCATATTCACAATAGCTAAAAAGTGGCAATAACTCAAATGTCCATTAACTGAGAAACAGATAAGCAAAATGTGGTATCGATACAATGGAATATTATTCAGCCATAAAAAAAGAAGTATTGACACACACTGTAACAAGCTGAAACTCCAAAATCTTATGCTACATGAAAGAAGCCAGCCACAAATACATATTGTATGATTCTGTTTATAAGAAATATGCAGACTGGGCAAATCCAGAAGACAGAAAGTTGCTTAGTGGTTGTCTATGGCTAGGGAACGGAGTGGGATGGAGACTTACCACTAATGCGCACCGGGGTTCTTTCTGGAGTTATGAAAATGTTCTAAACCTAAGACTGTGGTGATGTTTACATAATTCTATCAGCCTACTAATGACTATTGAATTATATGCCTTAAATGGATAAATTTTATGATACAAGAACTATATCACCTTTACTAATAAAGAGGTTTACAAAAGCCACTAAGGAGCTGACGTATTAGTATGGGTTTTTGGTCCTCAGTAAATTTATATTTGTTTGGCTCCCTGACATGTAGAAAAGTCTCAGGATGTAGAAGTCGATCCTGACATGGGGAGTGGAAATATGTTTCTCGTGGGAAAGTCTTCCAGCCAGTGAGTGGTTGCTTGGAGGACGCACTGCTTGGCTCCTTGCCTTTGTTACCAATGCAGATACCCAGTATTGCTGGATCTCAGGAACCCCCTAATACCTCCAATTGTAATTCCTACTTGAAACTGCCAAGAAGTGCAAGCCAAAAACCCTACCCAAGCCCAATAGCAGATCTCCTTGTAAGACACACAGCTATGTCAACATTTCTCCCTATCAAACACTTCCTCTAAGTATAGGAGGTTCCATTGGGGCTGGGAGTGGGTCTTTAAAAACTAGCATGTCTCTCCATCGACACTATCTACCTA